GTTAAATAATTCTAAAGGAGTTCCTCTTCAGTTTAAAAGCGAATTTGTGTGTTGATCTGGAGTACAAGATCTGTGAATGAAAGTTTGTTCCTGGAAGATCTTGAGCTAGTCAGAAAGGTTTGACTAGTGAATTATGTACGCTACTTTGACCTAATGATACTGCTGATCTAACACAGTTACTCATGCCTATTGCCCCATTCCCAAAGAAAAATCAGTAGTTGCGTTAACTATTTAAATTTTTCAAAACAATGGAGATTTGAACTATATAATTTTATGAATGATAAACTCAGAGCCCAGTGAGAAACAAAACACAGTCCATTTCTCAGTGACATTTCTGGGGGGAAAATCTCCAACCTAATTTTGTCAGATTAGTTCCAGACTTGCTTCTAACTGCTTGTAAGTCATCGCCATTGGAATTTCCCCCCAGGCTCAAAGCTGGACTCAGTAAGTCTTTAGACTAAAGTCTAAAACTTACTGTTTCTTCCCACTTCGAGTCAAACTCTTACTTCCTCTGTAAACATGCACTGATATCCTCTAAACCAGAAATCTGGAGGTTGTCTTTGAACATTTCTTACTACATTCTGTTGTGTCATTTTTATCTCCAAAGTATCTGTTGATATGACCTCTTTTAGTCCTGATCATCTCACTTTAGGGCCTCATTTCTTGGGAACTATGACTGTTAACTATGGCTGCTGCATTAGCTAGTTATTTCCTTGCCCTCTGTCTCTTCCTTCTGATTCATCTTCCACATTGTTGTCCTAGTTCTCTCCCTAGAGCCAAATACCATATTATATTTATATTATGTATGTCATATATATGATATCAAATGTATAAAATATATTTCCTAGCTTAAAATCTTTAAGTGGTTTATCACCCACAGGATAAAATTCGAACTCTACCCTAAAACAAACATGTCAACTCTTCCAGCATAGTCCCTTGCCATCCACATTTACACTTCACAGTTCAGCCTGCATTGCTTACAGTATGGACTTTGCAGTTAGGCAGCCCAGATTCAAATCCCCGCTGTGCAGATATGTGAGTTCTTGTGCCAGAAAACATGGCTTTAGGGATGGGAGTTAAATGAGTTGTCTATTTTCCCTCCTAGGATACACAGGCATGTTTCTAGCCTTTCTATACCTCTCTTTCCTTCCCTGTGATATGGGGGAGAGGGTAATACCTACCTCTTAGATTTATAAGAAATAAGATTGTTTATAAATAGTGCTAATATTGATTAACACTAAATAAATGGTAGCTTTGCTGGTAGGGGTGTAAAATGGTGCAACCATTTGGAAAACAATTTGGCAGTTTTTCAAAATGTAAAACAGTTAGCATATGACCCAGAAATCCTATTATGTATATAGACAAGAGAAATAAAAACATGTTCACGTGAAAACTCATACATGTTCATAGTAGCATTATTCATAATAGCCAAAAAGTAGAAACAATCCAGATGTTCATCAGCTGATGAGTGGATGAACAAAATACGGTATATCTGTAAAGTGGAATATTATTCAGCAATAAAAAGGAATGAAATACTGATACATTCTACAACCTGTATGAACCCCGAAAACATTATGCTAAGTGGAAGAAGCCGGTTACAACAGACCATATCGTGTATAATTCCATTTATATGAAATGTCCAGAATAGGCAAATGCATAGAGACAGAAAATAGTGTTTGCCGAGGCTGCAAAGAGAGAGGATGAAGACGGTAATGGGTATGGAGTTTCTTTTGGGGGTGATGAAAATGTTTCAAAATAAAATGGTGATGATAGTTGTACAACTCTGTGAATATACTAAAATCACTGAATTATACACTTTAAAAGGATGAACTTTATGATAAGTTATATCTCAATAAAGTTGTTAAAAATAAGAGCTCTTATACCCATTTGTTTTCAGTTCCCTCAAAAGCTTCCTAAGGGCAAATTCTGTGTCATCTTTATGTTTTCATCTAGCACACAATGCCTTGTGTATAGTAGATGCTTAATAGATGGCGCAATGTGAATGAGTCTTTATGAAGCAAGCTGTTAGAGCTTAAGTTGAGGAGAAAATTGTATGAAAATCTCCTTAGATTATATTATCGAAGTACATCTTTGCAGATATTTGAGTTCTTGTGCCAGAAAACATGGCTTTAGGGATGGGAGTTAACTGAGTTGTCTATTTTCCCTCCTAGGATACACACCTGCTAAAACTGCTTAAAACGTTAGAAGGACATGCTTATGGCGTTTCTTATATTGCATGGAGTCCAGATGACAACTATCTTGTTGCTTGTGGCCCAGATGACTGCTCTGAGCTTTGGCTTTGGAATGTACAAGTGAGCGAGTTCCATCCTTGGTTTAGCCTTTAAGTACAGCAAAGTCATAATGCACATATTCATTATAATTTTATTTTTGGTTTATAGAACGGAGCCATTCAACTTAAATTACTATAATGTATCTCTTAGAAAAGATAGTTCTTCAAATGGGAACCCAAGTGTTGAGATTTATACATTTAAATATTATGCTAAATAATAGTTTTTGAAAGCGTGGTCGGTGCTGTATTTGTGATTAGGTTCAGGGAGCTGACAAAACACAGAATAGATGGCTTTCTCTCAATAAAACAGAGCTTGAAGTAAATCTGATCTAAAAGATGAAAGAAAATTTTTTTTCCATTGAAGCTTTTTTTCCTCCAGTGGGACTATATATATAGTCTTGATTGTATAATAGAGATTTAATTTATAGTTCCTATATATGCCTTTGAGGCAATTTTGAATTTCTGAATGATTAAACTGTTGTTTTATGTAATACTTTATGTAATTGTTCTGAAAAGGTGATCTTTTAATCAGTTTTCAGATTATTTGTGTTTTTAGGTAGGTTTCTAATAACCTCACCTACTCATTATTTTGAGTATTACGGAAGAAAAGACCATTCCCACTTTCAGCACTTAGTGTGTTAACATATTTGTGAATAGAAAATGCCAAGAATTTAGCTTTTGTATGTGTATTTGTGCTTTTCAACTTTTATGTTAACTGTTTATAAACCAACCCAAAAGGGTAAATAGGTGAGAGTAGTTAAAAATTTGCAGGAAGGATTTAGATCACTGAACATTTTTTTTTTCCAGTGTAAGGCAGACATTTGGGTTTCTGTTTTTGTGCCCTCTTTGCTTTTAGTACTTGGCCCCATTTCCTAATCATACCCTCTGTTTTCACTCTGTATTTTTACTTTTGATTACCCATTTCTCACAGGAATATTATGCCCATGTACTTTTTATTATATCAAGGGCAGCTATTATCTCTCACATCCTGTTTCTAATCCCTGAACAAAATGGAATCAAGACTAGATTAAATGGTATGTGTATACCTTCTAAGTTGAATAACTTAGAAAATGTAACAGGAGGGTATCTGAGGATTGTAACCAGGAAATATTCTGGCTTAGTTGGAAATGCTGTAGGATGGCTATGGCAAACAGTAGAAAGGTTCCTGTTGCTATTACTTTTAATTAAAATAAGGTTACATATCAGAAAAATAATTTTTTCTCTTCTCAGCTTCCCTAGTAGATTGTAAGCATTTGAATATGAAATTTAACATAATTTAGACTTCTCTTTGTCCTAGTGTAAGAATGTAGTTTTTCTAGCCTTTAGTCATGTTTGTGAGGAATTACTAATTGCATTAACTGTAGTTTTAGAATAAAATTTACAAAGAACTTTGGACTGAGGAGAAGTAGAATTTCAGAAGGTATAGGTACGTAGCCTTGGGATTTTCATCATCTTGCTTGGGGAAAATTACGTATTAAGTTTTAGTTTATGGGCTGGGCGCGGTGGCTCATGCCTATAATCCTACCTCTCTGGGAGGCCCAGATGGGCGGATTGTTTGAGCTCAGGAGTTCGAAACCAGCCTGAGCAAGAGCGAGACCCCGTCTCTACTAAAAATAGAAAGAAATTAATTGGACAACT